GAAGTGGTACTTTTTCTTCTTTGAATTTTTCAAAAGCCTATAACTTGAGTACTATTTCAGATAGATAAATGAAATTTCACATATAAATAAAAGATCTAATTTTCTACCTTCTGTCAAATTTTGAGTAATTTCCGTTGAAAGGAAGTACTAATTTACGATATTTTCGATTTCTCAAAAAACGCATGAAAATTTATAAAGTACTAATAATATTGCGCACTATTATGCACATTTTGTTTTGGCGTTCGCTTGGTGCGCAATTCTTTTTTCTGTGAGATTCTATTCTATTTTTAAAAGTTTAAGTAATTAAAAATCATGTCTATATTTCAAGTTATATAAGAATATTCGAGAAAGTTTAGGGGAGATCACTCCCGGTTTATTATTGTTTGTACACAGGTGAATTTGGGCACTGTAATGTGCCGTAATAATAATTTTATGCGTTTTAGAAATAATTACATTAGGGAAAGAACTATACATATAATAGTAACAAATAAAAGGGAGACAAATATATAATAACTGTTTTCTCTTTTATTGTTTTGTATACATTTGGACGCTGTTTAAATTAGAATATGTATCCAAGAACTATATATGGGTAATGAGAGGTTGAGAAAAAAAAATTAAATTAATTATTTAGAAATAATTACATTAGGGAAAGAACTATACATATAATACGTAACAAATAAAAGGGAGACAAATATATAATAACTGTTTTCTCTTTTATTGTTTTGTATACATTTGTATCCAAGAACTATATATGAGTAATGAGAGGTTGAGAAAAAAATTTAAATTTATTTTGCTAGTGCTCTTTATAATAAAGGAATGGAAAAAAAAAAAACGTTTGTGCGTATTTTATTAGTTTCGATGTTTTTTTTTCTTTTCTTTGTTGTTTTTGTGTGTGTGTGTGAGTGTTAAAATTGGTTTTACATGTGTTTATGTTAGTTTCTGTCTTCATTCCGAGTATAGTCGTCTCCTCACAACACCCACCAGACACTACCAACACACTCACACGCTCTTAGATTCTTTAATAAAAATCTCATGGGAATTAGAAAGATTTTTTTTTCCGGATGGGCGAGACAAAAAAAAAAAAAAAAAAAAAAAAAAGTTACCAGTAGGACTTATAGAACTTTGACAAATTCAACTGCCTAGCAACCTTACAATATTGTCCCACTATTTGCTGTTTAACTGCAATATACACAACGATGCATGCATGCATATATATATATATATATATATATATATATATATATATATATATGGCGATAACATGTTACTTGTAATTAACTGTCATAATTTTAGCTACTGGCTTTCCTCTCGTGATATTACTTTTAGTAGTCCGTAGTTTGAAGGTGCTGATGTGTTTAATTTGATGATATCGAAAAGGAAATGTACAACGTAGTTAACTAGGAGTGTAGCTATCGAAACCTGAGAGGAGACTTTATTAGTATGTACCCTTCGGCACATACTCTTAAAGGCGCCTCTCGGGGTTCGATAGCTAGCTATTTTTTAAAGATTTTTATGTATATAAACCCCTCATTAAACACATTTAACACTTCCTACAAAACGCAACATTTTACGTTTTTAAATACATCATCAGAATTTAACATAAAGCTAAAGTGTTTCTCTTTGTGAATAAAGAGTTTTAAAACTATTTCAAAAATATTTGTGAATTTGTTTCATGCTGTCAAAAGTAACACACTATTAGCATAATATTTATTGATGCTATTTCAACGACCAAGAGTATGTATAAAACATATTCCCGTGAATTTAATTCATTTTTAAGGAAATAAAGCATGAAATAAAAATGACGTAACAAAGTAAAGGGAAATAAGCGGGTTTTTTTCGTCACGCGATGCTCGGGTTTTGCTGTTAAACGAACTGCAACAGTCAGCTGATTGCTTAAAACACAATGTGTGTTCAAGATATGCAGTAGTATGGACCAGGTGATATGGTCATTGGGTACTGATGAAATGATCTAGGAGTATTTAGAAGTTGGGAGGGGTCTAGGATTATCTGGAAGTGGGGAGATTGTCAAGGGGGTCTTCCCTAAATGACGTCACACTAGGGGGCAGGGGGGTCGGTAATTTTGTGACGGTGTGTGATTAGGGGGAGGAGGGTGTGTGTACATATTGTGTGACGTCACTTTTTGCATTATAAATAAGCAATGCTAGAAAATGAATTTTAGCCGGTTTTTTTTTTTGCGTTTTAGATAACTGTTTAAATAAATTGTAATAGGGATTGGGAAAAATTTCACTGCAATTTTGAGGTTGGGGGGGGGGGGGGTTGTAGGTTGATGTATGATGTCATTTTAGGGGGGGGGTCTGGCTTTTTGTGACAATGTGTGACGGAGGGGAGGTAAAATTGTCCAAAACAGCGTGACGTCATTTATGGATGATCCCTAGGAGTATCTGGAAGTGGGGAGGGGGTCTAGGGTTATCTGGAAGTAGGGAGGGGTACCCAACATGTCTATCACTAACGTAGGTACCTGACATTTCTATCACTAACGTGGGTACCTGACATCTAACGTGGGTACCTGACATCTCTATCACTAACGTGGGTACCCGACTACTCTATCACTAACGTGGGTACCTGACATCTCTATCACTAACGTGGGTACATGACATCTAACGTGGGTACCTGACATCTAACGTGGGTACCTGACATCTAACGTGGGTACCTGACATCTAACGTGGGTACCTGACATCTCTATCACTAACGTGGGTACCTGACATCTCTATCACTAACGTGGGTACCCGAAATCTCTATCACTAACGTGGGTACCTGACATCTCTATCACTAACGTGGGTACATGACATCTAACGTGGGTACCTGACATCTAACGTGGGTACCTGACATCTCTATCACTAACGTGGGTACCCGAAATCTCTATCACTAACGTGGGTACCTGACATCTCTATCACTAACGTGGGTACATGACATCTAACGTGGGTACCTGACATCTAACGTGGGTACCTGACATCTCTATCACTAACGTGGGTACCTGACATCTAACGTGGGTACCCGACTACTCTATCACTAACGTGGGTACCCGACATCTCTATCACTAACGTGGATACCTGACATCTCTATCACTAACGTGGGTACCTGACATCTCTATCACTAACGTGGGTACCTGACATCTCTATCACTAACGTGGGTACCTGACATCTCTATCACTAACGTGGGTACCTGACATCTAATGTGGGTACCTGACATCTAACGTGGGTACCTGACATCTCTATCACTAACGTGGGTACCCGACTACTCTATCACTAACGCGGTACCTGACATCTCTATCACTAACGTGGGTACCTGACATCTCTATCACTAACGTGGGTACCTGACATCTAATGTGGGTACCTGACATCTAACGTGGGTACCTGACATCTCTATCACTAACGTGGGTACCCGACTACTCTATCACTAACGCGGTACCTGACATCTCTATCACTAACGTGGGTACCCGACTACTCTATCACTAACGTGGGTACCCGAAATCTCTATCACTAACGTGGGTACCCGAAATCTCTATCACTAACGTGGGTACCCGACATCTCTATCACTAACGTGGGTACCCGACATCTCTATCACTAACGTGGGTACCTGACATCTCTATCACTAACGTGGGTACCCGATATCTCTGTCACTAACGTGGGTACCTGACATCTCTATCACTAACGTGGGTACCCGACTACTCTATCACTAACGCGGTACCTGACATCTCTATCACTAACGTGGGTACCCGAAATCTCTATCACTAACGTGGGTACCCGATATCTCTGTCACTAACGTGGGTACCTGACATCTCTATCACTAACGTGGGTACCTGACATCTAACGTGGGTACCTGGCCTTCAAGTTACCACTTAAAATATTGCAAGTAGTTACAATCATTGCCGCCTACCTCTCCCCACCCCTAACATCCGCAAGCAAAGCTCGTCTACCCCCCCCCCCCCTTCCCTCCCCCGCACCCGAAGCACGTCTACCTTCTTCTCCCGAGCGAAATAAAATGTACATACAAAATCTATATTTAAGCAATGTTCGCCCCCCCCACCCCCACCCCTCACCGGGAAATTTAGTCCGCCCTCCCCTTCAAGTGCCCCCGCACCCTGAAAAAAATGTCTAAAGAAACACTGGTGTTTTCTTATTTTCATTCATTATCTTCTCCCTTTTTTGCCCAAGACACCTTCATTAAATAGTTCAAGATAACACTTTTAGTATAATACTTTTAGGTATTCATACGGTGTTTAAGGTTTAGAGTCCGCTTACAATGGTGAGATTTTATCACATACCCTATTTTAACACATTATTTTCAAACTTGAGGTTAATTGTAAACATGGTGACATTTCGTTACGTAAAGAAAACTCAGTCAAACTCAGTCTCTATAGTTTAAGCCGTACAATCCCATTCCCCCACCACCACCCCTAGCCCACCTACTATCTACGCAATTGTTCCGGTTGGCTGAACACTGCCGGACTGAGTGAATAGAAAAAATGTGTTGTTGTTTTTTTTTACCCCCACCTCGCCAAAGTCGCTTGACCACGACAACAATGGTAGCACAACATCAGTCCTAACACTTGAGTTATCCCTGAATTGTTGACAGAGGAAGTGTGTTGTGTGTACAAATAATACCACAGTCTGACAAGTCCATTGAGATTCGTAAAATAAATAATACGCAAATATACTTGCTCAACCGAACCACTCGAAAATTAAAGCTTTTGTTGACAAGATGGTAACTATAGAATTTTATTTAATCTAATAGACAGCTTCGTGTATAAAAACCCAATTCGTAATTTTAGACAGTTCACTTATAGATTTCTCACATAGATTAATCATTATAAATGTCTTAAATGTATATAGGATAAAGTAATAGATACATCAGGACTTTGTATTTTTTAAAACTTTAATTAGAAGCGAGTATTCACTAAGATTTTGACCAAGCCACGCATAGAAAGGAACTTTGCTTTCGTTGACGTTACTTTAAAAGATATTTATCACCCAGGACACCATGTTAACCAGAATGCAAGACTACAAGTTCAAGAACTTCTACCTACTTTGTCGGGAGCTCCTAGAAATCGAAACTGGTGTCCGATCAAATATCGAGATCAACGCAGTCAGGTATGACGTGGTCCTCTCGGAGGTCATCGACTACATTGGAGAAAAAGGGATGATGCTTGGTGCCTCTCAGGAGTACTGTGACAGCATCGCGGCGCTGATTGTAGAAAGTTCTATTCCTTCCGAGTCTGAGAGTTTGGTTGACCCGGAGAGACAGGAACTTGCCGAGCTGAGGCAGATGGACGATGATACTATTGATACAGTAGGAGGCGGAGATTTGGATAATCTTGTGACTATCTTTGGGCAGGCTACAAGGTAAGCAGTAGTTTGTTTAATTCTAGTTAGGGTTAGATTGTCGTGTTACTCTAACCTTAATTCTAGTTAGGGTTAGATTGTCGTGTTACTCTAAGCTTAATTCTAGTTAGGGTTAGATTGTCCGCCCTCCCCTTCAAGTGCCCCCGCATCCGGAGAAAATGTCGGAAAGAAACATTGGTGTGTTCCCTCTTCCTTATTAGTATATTTCATGCTAATTATTTTCAGTTAGTTTAATTCTAGTTAGGGTTAAATTGCCGTGTTACTCTAAGCTTAATTCTAGTTAGGGTTAGATTGGCGTGTTTTTCTCATTAAGCCTAATTCTAGTTAGGGTTAGATTGTCGTGTTACTCTCATTAAGTTTAATTCTAGTTAGGGTTAGATTGTCGTGTTACTCTCATTAAGTTTAATCTAGTTAGGGTTAGATTGTAGTGTACTCTCATTAAGTTTGATTCTAGTTAGGGTTAGATTGTCTAGTTACTCTCATTAAGCTTAATTCTAGTTAGGGTTAGATTGTCGTGTTACTCTAAGCTTAATTCTAGTTAGGATTTGGTTGTCAAAACTCTTTCACGTGGTAGAGATAAATGCTGCTAACCCGAAAGTCATGAGTTCGAATCCGGGCTCAAGTAAGTTGAACGTCCCTGAGTCCACCCAGCTCTGATGGGTACCTAACTCTCGTTAGGGAAAGCAAGGGCGGCTGGGCATAGTGCTGACCACACTATCCCTCTATATGCCTGAAACAGATGAACTCCACTTCATCCGCCCTATATGTTATTTAATATTAACTACATTACGTTTTTGAGTACATTGTAATTAATTTAACTGTAACAATTAAGATAGATTTGGGATAGTTTTTTTGTGCGGTCAGCTTTCAAAACACACATTATGGTTATTAGTTTAATTTATTTATTGCTTTGCGTGTCTGTGACATCGCATTAAGATACATAGACCTACCTTCCTATGAGAAATCATTAATTAAAGTTTGGTTTTTATTTTCAGCTACGCCTACCGCCCAATCTGGCCAGGCGTTCCTAACCCATTGGCTAACCTCATTCTAAAGATCATGGAGTTTTTAGGTAGGACAGGTTTTGTTTTCCTAACAATTTTATTTTTATTGTGTTGTGGCCTGCACATTCACAGAACGTAGGACACTGAGCTAGGCGGTTGCGCGACCACGTGGTAAATTACGTAGTTATTTTAAACCTGCCACGCAGCCATTTTGTATAATACATTCATTATTATCCTTGTTTAAACTGTAGGTCAACGCGCTTATAAAATACACGTTGCAATTGAACTTTTTCCTCTAAGAAGGAACATAGGTGGGGATATTACATAATTTCTTCCTACAATAACATTATAACAAAAAAAAACTCTTCAATCTGCCAAATAAATGCGAATACATTATCAAAGTAAAAATAATGGTAACAATTTCTTAAATGTAGAAAATGTTTGCGAAAAAATTTCTTTAATCTAGAACAGGGGTCTCCAAACTTATCAGTCCGATCAAATTTCAGTTCGGGGGCCAGATTCTTTCAGGCATGTCCTGATTTTTCTGAGCAAAGTTCCTCAGCCATTACCAACAAATGTTTTTTCCGTGGACAAAAAGATCTCCGCGGGCCGGATGAGAGTCTCCGTAGTTTGGAGACCCCTGATCTAGAACACTAGTGCGAATAATTTCTCCAGTTATCTACCCTACGCCGTGTTCTGCTTCGCACTTTAAAAATACATAAATAAGATATTTTATTTTGGTTTCAACGACAAATCACATACATTTTTTTCAACAGAATCCATATTTATGAATAGTCGGTGGCTTGTTCATTTTTTTTAGAAAAATATTAGTAGATTCCAATTATAAAAGTTTGATATATCAGTAGGCTATTCCAGGGGCGTAGCGAAAGGGGGGGGGGGTACATATGTCTTCGGGCGCCGACCTTAGGGGGCGCTAAAATGAGTTGGAAAAACAAATTTAAAACTCATTTTAGCTGCTGCATTTTTGCTTTATATATATATATAAAATATGAGGGGGGAGGTGCAAATCGAAAGTTTGAAGGGGGGGGGGGGTGCAAATCGAAAATTGTAAGGTTGATCCCGAGGGAGAGCGCCAAATTGAAAGTTTGTCCCCGGGCGCCGGGAGGGGTCGCTACGGCTCTGTGCTATTCATTTAACTGCTGTGTACATAATGGGCCGTATTGCTACGCAGAGTGGCCACCCCTGCCTTTAAGAAAATATTACTTAGTTTTCTGTGGCGCCACCTACCGGCGCTTTCTTTAAGTCTCGCTACGGTAGTTGCCAGCTAGCGTTTTTTTGTTTTTTCAAACCAAATGTGAATATTTTTTTTAAGTTATGAAATCTACTTCCGCTTTTGGAATCAAAACAAACTCCGACGATTAGTTGTATTATGTAAATTAATTTTAAAATAACACACACACAAATATATTTTATTTTATATAGATCCAGAATACACATGTTTTTTTGACGTAGGATTAGACCCTGTATAATAATAATAAAATTTTTTTTATAAAATTTGAGATTTATACAAGATTTCAATCGTATATCAAGCCTGAATTTAATTATGAAGTATAGCCTAGATCTATAGCTAGAGTCTAGATTTCTAGATCTAAACTAGATCTATATCTATGACTAAAAAAAAAAGTCCTCTTGAAAATTCCGACGTAGACAGTAACATACGACATACAGGATTTTTTTTTAAATTTATAGACTAGAGTAGTCTAGGTTCTAGATCTAGTTTCTTTTATTTTACAGTGTAGTTGATTGTAGACTTAAGAATTAGGAATTAATTACTAACTTAGGCCTTTTAAATAGGCTACTTACCTCTAAGACAAGTAGACTAGCATATTTTCAATATCAATCAGTGCCGGTGCGGCACCCCCCAGAGGCGTAGCGACCCTTCCCGGGGACAAACTTTCAATTTTTCAATTTTCGATTTGCACCCCCCCCCCTCAAACTTTCGATTTGCGCCTCTGATAAGACTATTTAACACTCGAATAATAGCCGCCATGTTTTTTGTTATCAATGGGAATCCCGTTCACAACAGTTGATTTAGTTCGAAAACTTTTATCTCTCCCTGGCTAACCAGCGGTAGGTGGCGCCACAGACAACTAAGTAAGGCAGGGGTGGCCACTCTGCGTAGCAATATCGCCCATTAAGCACTATCGCATGGGAAACCAATTGCGTTTTTTTCCCTTTGGTTTGGTTTTTAATAGATCTATATTTTAAAGAATTATCAGTATAAAAATTTTCTATTAAAAATGTGATATAAAGTTATCAGCTAAGAAAGCAACATAATTTTAACTGTTATATTTATAATTACGACACCATAGTAGATTTACGTGGCGTTTGACCTTATATTGATAATCATGCAAGGATCTAATTACTTATTGACTAAAACAGTTGCCATGAGATTACACATTTTATTCCTACAGATAGCTTCGGGGTCATCCATAAATGACGTCACGCTTTTTTGGACGATTTTTACCTCCCCCCTCCCCTCCGTCACACGTCGTCACAAAAAGCCACCCCCCTAAAATGACGTCACACCTCAACCTATCCACCCTCCTCCTCAAAATTGCAGTTGAATTTCTTTAAACATCGATATTTTTCTAAAATCTTGTCTAAACTATTACAATTTATTAAAACAGATTTTCTTGGCGTTTGACCTTATATTGATAATGATGCAAGTATCTAATTACTTATTGACTAAAGCAGTTGCCATGAGATTACACATTTTATTCCTACAGATAGCTTCGGGGTCATCCATAAATGACGTCACGCTTTTTTGGACGATTTTTACCTCCCCCCTCCCCTCCGTCACACGTCGTCACAAAAAGCCACCCCCCTAAAATGACGTCACACCTCAACCTATCCCCCCTCCTCCTCAAAATTGCAGTTGAATTTCTTTAAACATCGATATTTTTCTAAAATCTTGTCTAAACTATTACAATTTATTAAAACAGATTTACATGGCGTTTGACCTTATATTGATAATGATGCAAGTATCTAATTACTAATTGACTAAAACAGTTGCCACGAGATTACACATTTTAATCCGTTTTAAAAAAAAATCCCTTGAATCATCATTTAATTACACCTTTGCATTTTCAGTTTTTTTTTTTTTTTTTTTAATTTTTAAATTTTATATTTAGACGTTTTGTATTAGATCAATGTATAAGTAAACCATCTTAAATGAATGAAAGTAGGCTACAAGTAAGAAAGAAATATTACTATTGTAAATCTGTATCAGTCCTCACAAGCCGATGATGAAAACTGTAATACAAAAGCGAACACACAACTGACGCTGTAAATTACATGTCTGAGGACACAAAAAAAGAAAAGAAGAAAAAAAAAATAATCCAAGAGATCTACTTCTTACACTATCACAAATCGTGTAAAACAAATCACTGTTTCAGTAGCGTAGCGAGGGGGGGGGGGGACATATGTCCCCGGGCGCCGAGCTTAGGGGGCGCCAAAATGGGTTGGAAAAATAAATTGAAAGGTTGAGGGGGGTGCAAATTGAAAGTTTGAGGGGGGGGGGGGCGCAAACCAAAATCTCGACGGGGGGGGGGGGGGTGCAAATCGAAAGTTTGAGAGGGGGGTGCAAATCGAAATCTCGAGGGGGGTGCAAATCGAAAAGTTTGTCCCCGGGCGCCGGGAAGGGTCGCTACGCCTGTGCACTGTTTACACATTAGAATTACTTAAACCAGCTTGACCTCATTCTTTGAATTTATTTTGATTTTAATTTTTTTTTAACAGACAAATTTCGTCACTTAGAAGTAGGCGGACTAAGCTCTGACGAAAGTGAACTAAGCTCAGACGAAAGTGAACTAAGCTCACAACAATAGTGCCGGTTCTGTTTCTTTGGTCAACAACATGGGGGATCCTTTTCCCTTACTGTTTAATTATTGGTTTTTTTTTTAAATTTTAAATTATCATTGTTCTGTTGGTTGTAACAAAATTCTTTATTTTTGATGTTATTTATTCGATTAGTTAATTGTCAAGTAACCTTGTTAATTTTTTTTTTTTTTTTGCAACAGAGGCGTAGCCACCCTTACCAGCGCCCGGGGACAAACTTTCAATTTGGCGCTCCCCTCGGGAACAACTTTTCAATTTGCACCCCCCCCCCTCAAACTTTCAATTTGCACACCCCCCCCCCCCTCAAACTTTATATTTATAATGCAAAACTGCGGCTAAAATGAGATTTTAATTTGTTTTTACCACCCATTTCGCCACCCTCTAAGATCGGCGCCCGGGGACATATGAACCCCCCCTGCTACGCCTCTGTTTTGCAATGAAGTGCTATTTATTTGTTCAATGAATTTTTTTTTAAATTGTCAAATACCATTCGTTTTGTTCAGGTTATTTGTAATGACATGTTTATATCTTTTGTATTCGTAATTTTGTTTTGATATTGTAAACGTTCAGTTAAAAAAGCCTTTTATGCGTGATAGATACTGTGGCTTTTTGTCTTAATAAAAATATTTGAAATTAGGTTTGGGTTAACTTTTCATTTATAACTTTTTTTCAACTTACAATATATCACGAGGATGTTTCATTTCAAGCCAAAATATTTGATGTCATTTATACATCGTTAGACTTTTGCTTACTAATTTGAAACTTAGTAATAGACTTTTACTCTAGTTATCGAAAGATACGGAAAGCAGCTGGGTTCATCTTTCTTCCAATTGACGAATTCAGCCTTTTTACATAAAATCTGAAGATAGCCGAAAACAATCACAATTGCTTGTAACTGATAACTAATTTACCCATTAGCAATAGTTATTAGAAGATAATTATCTTCCTTCTAATTGACGAACTCAAAGTTTTAAATAATAGTATAGACGGTTTAAAAATAAAATTTAACATAGTCGAAAACAATCACAATTACTTGTAAATGATTACTAAAAGTGATACCAATAATACTCAAAGTTGAATTTACTCTATAAATATGCCTAGACCTCTAGTAATTATATACTGTGGTCATTTTGTTAATCTCACTTATTTAGTCATACTACTTGATGTTTTTCGACGTTACATTAAATGTAGCATTTCTAAAGCACGCATATACAAAATATACTACAAATGTATGTATAACAATCTTAACACTAAATGTTTTCTATAACACGGCACCAGAGGCGTAGCGACCCTTCCCGCCGCCCGGGGACAAACTTTCAATTTGGCGCCCCCCTCGGGAGCAAATTTTCAATTTGCACCCCTCCCCTCAAACTTTCGATTTGCCCCCCCCCCCCCCCACCCTCAAACTGCAAAAATGCAGCTAAATAATTTAATTTGTTTTTACAACCCATTTTGGCGCCCCCCTAAGGTCGGCGCCCGGGGACATATGTACCCCCCCTGCCCCCCCCCCCCCATCGCTACGCCTCTGCACGGCACATGCACATTTCTTTGTTTCATTCCGCTTGATCACTAACTTCGTGGAATTACAGGATTTCCAGAAATGCTTTCATTGTTCAACGGAGTAGGGAGTAACATAGGTTATCATCAAATGAAAGTTAAAAAAAAAAGTTAAGTTTCCTCTTTTTCATCAGGCAGATAAAGTGGAGTTCGTGTGTTTCTTGATATCGGCATATAGCGTGAGCTGTGTGGACTTAAGGATGTTTCAATAACTTGAACCCGGATTCGAACTCGAAACTATCGGGTTGGCAGTCTAGCGCTTCACCACTAGGCCACTCCGTCCCGTTATCAAAGGAAAAGTATTTTTTAAAATACACCTTACAGTGTCCGTAAAATTAAAATTAAAATGTTTGTTCAATAATTAGAAAATATACAGAACTAAGCCAACTATCCAAAAAAATACAAGGAAATATGTTATAGAAACAGTTTGTCTGACGCAGTTGTGAGGAATTAATGTTATTGATTTATAACATTCGATATGCATAACAGCAGAGACAGTAACTTGGGTGCAATAATTTTCTTACAGATATATAAGCAGGTGGTTTCCCCTTCCTAACGGGGAGCTACGTCCGTACTTAACTTAGGGCTGCAGATGGATCCTAACATTTGATGTGATAAAACGATAGTTCAAAGAAAAAACCAAACGAGCCAACAAACAATCCACTTCTTCTGAGAGCTATTGCTAGTCATACCCGATGCCACGTGAAATTTATAGCTTGAAGTTAAGTGCGGGGTTAGCTCCCTTTTTAGTTAAGCTTCCTTTTTTTTTTTTGTTTCTTAGTCTTTCGATTTCATGACACTTCCACGTGTAATTTTGTTTCAGTCCGATATTAGATCCAAGTCAAACGTTTTGAAAAACTACCTAACTATAAAACATAGATCTACATAGCTTCTTCGTAGTTGAGTTTCTATTATTCTGACGTCATGCAAGCATAATATGGGGATTTCCCTTTACAGTAATATTGATTAATTGATAGTGAGAGGATTTATCGCAGACAACGATCACATTTAAATATGGTATAGGTATCTTTAAAAACAAAATATTCAAATAATCAAATCTATAATTAGTACAAATATAAATCAAAGCTGGCTATCATAAAAAAAACTAATACAAAAAACAGCGAAATATGTTCTATAAACAGCGAATCTTTGTAAGGGTCTCCCTTTTGACGTGTATTTATATTAGTCTCCCTTAAAACGTGCATTATATTAATCTCCCTTATGACGTGCATTATTTTAGTCTATTTTTTACTTGCATTATATTAGTCTCCTTTTTACTTTCTCGTATATACGAAGTATACAGAAAGTATTGTAATCGTGCACAAAAATAACATGAAATTTTGACAGTTTTTACCGTTTTACTCCTCAGTCCTTCATCACATCCGGATTATAGAGGACTTATTTTAATCAGGCAAAAATTATAAATACAAATATATAAACGTTTTGGCGTTTTATGCGTTGTCGAGTCCTAAAAACTGGACTTTGCAATTCTGTCCGTATGTCTGTGTGTCTGTGTGTCTGTCTGTGTGTAAACACGATAACTTGAGTACCGTTACAGCTAGGTTGATGAAATTTCATATATAAGTATTTTATCAGAATTGTAGATCCTGATAAACTTTTGAGCGATTTCCGATAACCAGAAGTGGTACTTTTTCTACTTTGAATTTTTCAAAAGCCTATAAGTTGCGTACTATTTTAGATAGATGCATGACATTTCACACGTAAGTAAAAGATCTAATTCTCTACCTTCTGTCAAATTTTGAGTAATTTCCGTTGACAGGAAGTACTAATTTACGCTATTTCCGATTTCTCAAAAAACGCCTGTAAATTTATAAAGTACTAATAATATCCCGCACTTTTATACACATTTTATTAGGCGTTCACTTTGTGTGGGACGGAGTGGTCTAGCGGTAGAGAGCTGGACTGCTAACCCGTAAGTCTCGAGTTCAAATCCGAGTTCAAGTCAGTATACTGTCCCTGAGTCCACCCAACTCTGATGGGTACCTAACTCCTGTTAGGGAAAGTAAAGGCGGCTGGGCATAGTACTGACCGCACTATCTCTTCATATGCCGAGGTCACAGAAACAAGTGAACTTGCCCCATAGACCGTCAGGTTTGAATGGGAAACTTCACTTTTTTTTTACAAGATTCTATTATAAAAGTTTAAGTAATTAAAAATGGATAACAAATATTGTCTATGTCCTGAGTTGCCATCCCTCGTAATATTATATTAGAATATTCGAGAAAGTTTAGGGGAGATCACTCCCGGTTTATTTATATTAGTCTCCCTGATGACGTGCATTATATTAAAGTCCATCATGTTAGTCTACTTCTTTACGTGCTTTATATTAGTCTAATTTTTGACACGCATTATATGATTCTCCCTTTTGACGAGAATGTTGTCATTTTCCTTACCAGCCTCAATTTACATGTGTGTCTTGTCAAATACATTAGTTTTGTTCAATCCCATTTCAAAACACACAAAAAAAAAAAAAAAAAAAAAAAAAATTAAAAAAAAAAAACTGCGTAACATTCGAATCGCCTCACTGTACATTATTTTCAGACACATTTTCTTATTTTTTTATTTTTTTGTAGGCCTTTGTGACTTAACCAGCGCTTTTAAGAATATAACCCTTTAAATGCGCTGAAAGTAAGAAAATAAAACAATTTTGCTTTCTTTAATAAAAGATTTGATCGTACATAAAATCACATACATATTTTAGCAACTAAAGCTTGTATTGATTAAAGAAAACAAGTTTGTTTCCTTATTTTCAGTGCACTAAATAGCATATTATTATAAAGGTTTCTATATTTGTTTTATTCTCAACTTTATAATAATTCGTTTCGAATAATTCGTTAATACCACATAGGCTAAAACTAAAATATTTGTTTAACACCAGATCAGTGACACGCAATCCCAATTAGATGGTTATCTGTCCATTCTTTCTTTGTTATTTGACAGAATATGCACTTTGTGAATAGTGGGGATTTGTTTTTACAAAAATATAATTCGATGACAAATTTAAAAAGTTTCGTTTACCAACATTCACTAAGTAGGTGTAGGTTAAGGTGTAAGTTAAGGTGTAAGTTAAGGTGTAAGTTAAGGTGTAAGTTAAGGTGTAAGTTAAGGTGTAAGTTAAGGTGTAAGTTAAGGTGTAAGTTAAGGTGTAAGTTATGGTGTAAGTTATGGTGTAAGTTATGGTGTAAGTTATGGTGTAAGTTATGGTGTAAGTTGTGGTGTACGTTATGGTGTAAGTTATGGTGTAAGTTATGGTGTAAGTTATGGTGTAAGTTATGGTGTAGGTTAAGGTGTAGGTTAAGGTGTAAGTTCGTGTGTAAGTTAAGTGTAAGTTCAGGTGTAAGTTAAGGTCTAACTTAAGGTCTAAGTTAAGGTCTAAGTTAAGGTCTAAGTTAAGGTCTAAGTTAAGGTCTAAGTTAAGGTCTAAGTTAAGGTGTAAGTTAAGGTGTAAGTTAAGGTGTAAGTTAAGGTCAAGTTAAGGTGTATGTTGAAATGTAAGTTAAAGTGTAAGTTACGGTGTAAATTACGGTGTCAGCTAAGGGGTAATCGCATATGAAAACTAGTTTTTTTTTCGTGTTAGGGTTATCTTTTTAGTAAAAAGGTCGAAGGTTTGAGAAAATCGATTATGTTACACAACCGAATAATATCAGTTAGTAAATGATTACTCCGACCACCACCCCCCACCATGGTCAAGCTGGGTATTAGGTGGTAGGACACAATGTCCCTGGTGGGAGGGGAGGCAAGCCTGGTGAGAACCCACGGATGAAAAGCTACCAACATGCAGTGTATCAAAACAGACATCTTCAAAACCAGCTAGTCGGAGTTCACTACGTCG